CCTGAATTCCTGTGTATCATCTCCACCCCTTATAGCCGGCAATTCTGTGCAGCTTGGGAGCCACCCCTTGGTCTGTGCAGCTGTGCCAGTGAGATCCCTGGGGGCATTAAAAAAAAAATTATAAAAAAATGTTTTAAAATTAATTAATTTATTTTTCCTTTTTGTTTTTCTCCATTTCTCAGTTTCTTGTCTCTCCACTCCAATGGAAACTCCCTCAGCATTTCTTCCCGTTTTTCTCTCCTCTCTCTCTTCTTTTCCATACCCAACCTAGCTCCACACATCACAACCTCCCCCTTCCCCTACCTCCTGCCTATCTACACCATGTGCTGAACATTGCACTCCCGAGCAGCACAGGCATGACATACTGGAACCTGCCATGTGCTGACCACTGGCTCATCTTGTTGGCCCAAGTATGTGCCACAACCCATGCCAGCCCCTCCACTTCAGCTGGACCTGCGCTGCTGCACCATAGCTGAGCTACTGGCCCTACCTATTGGACAAGGAGGTGAAAAATATTGTGTCCACAGACGAGCAAACAACAAAGAATGCATATAGCCCATCTGCTCAGACATAATCAAATAAAACAAAAAAAAGGATGAAACAAACAAATCTACAATCAATAAATGAAGAAACTAACTACTGAATGTCCCAAAGGCAGCAGACAATATCCAAAACATATAAAAAAGCAGGACAGCGTGGTTCCAATAGGCATCCAAAATAAAACACCAGATGACTTTCCAGTAGAATAAAAGGCACTAGAACTACCTGTTAGGGAATTAAAATCTCTAATATTCAGAGCTATTCAAGAGTTGAAGCAAAAAGCAGACAGAAATGAGGAAAAAATAGACAAATTCATGGAAAAGAAAGACAAATTCATGGAAAAGACAGAGAAAAAAATGGAAGAATTCAGGAAAATAATACAGGAACAAAATATCAAAATAAATTCATAACTAGAATTCATACAGAAACAACAATTAGAAATCCAAAAGGTAAGCAATAAGATTTCAGAAATGGACAGTGTCAGACAGGCTGAGGAACAGATTTGAAACAAGGGAAGACAGGATTTGCAAAATTGAAGACAAAGACTTGGATACAACCTTGAGGAAAAATCAGAAAAAAGAACAAAGAAAAATGAAGAAACCATGAGAATTATGTGGGATACAATCAAAAGCAAAAATTTGTGAGGGATCAGAGTTCCAGAACAGGGGGAGAAAAAGGAAAACACAGAGAGGATCACTGAAGAACTGCTGACAGAAAAATTCCCCAATATCATGAAGGGTGAAAAGCTGACCATCCAAGAAGCTCAACGAACCCCATACAGGATAGACCCCAAAGAAAATCACCAAGACATATCATAATCACACTCTCTAAAACCAAAGACAAAGAAAGAATCCTGAGAGCAGCTCAAGAAAAATGAAGAGTCACATACAGAGGGGAAACAATAAGAGTAAGCTCTGACTACTTGGCAGAAACCATGCAGGCAAGAAGGCACTGGGATGACATATATAAAATCTTGAAAGAAAAAAATTGCCAACCAAGAATAATACATCCTGCAAAACTCTCATTCAAATATGATGGTGAAATTAGGACATTTCCGGATAAACAGAAATTAAAGGAATATGTAAAAACCAAACCAAACTTACAAGAATTACTAAAGGGACTCCTTCAGTTTAAGAACAAACATCATCAGACCACAGTCTGAATCTAGGACACAAGATCGCACCAGGCAGATACCAACCTAGACAATGAGCTCTCGAGGACTATTCAAAACTAAAAGATTTACAACAGGGAACCAGAGAGGTTAATCTGCAAATGAGAACAATGTCAGAACAATAAAAGAGGGAATAAACGGTGTAGGTATAGAACCTTCTAATGGAGAGGAAGGAAAGGCAATACCAAGTAATAATAGACTGGTTCAAATCTACGAAGATACAGGTAAATTTCAAGGTAACCACAAAGAAAATTATCAAATCTAATCTCCAAAATAAAAAAGAAAAACATAAAGTCTCAGTAAAAACAAAATCTACAAAAACAAATGAAAAAAAATCCTCAAACAAAAGGAACTCAGCACAGGAGAGTAAGAGGAACAAAGAAATCCTTAGCACCACAAAAAAAAAAAAAAGCACTACAAAATGACAGCAATAAACTCACACCTATCAATAGTTACACTGAACGTAAATGGCCTAAATGCACCCATAAAGAGACAGAGAGTGACAGAATGGATAAATCTCTACTCACCCTACCTCAAAGCCTGAGCTCAGTTCATTGCTTTTGCCAGCTCCCACCCTCACCACCACAACCCCTAGACCCTAGAACTCCTGGGCTGTCCTTCACCTCAGGCCTTTCCTGCTGCCTCTGGGAAGAACTTGTTTTAGAACTACTGTTAGAGTGGACGCAGGAGGAGGATCCTAGAGTCAGTGAGATCATTTGCTAAAGATGCTCTCTCAGTACATTCCTGCAGGACAAGCTGGGCACTGGGCTGAGGGGGAGTGAAGCTGGGGAGAGGGGTGTTCTGGGGGAAGAAGTATTAGCCAGCTCTTCTTCAACTCTAGGTATATATCGCTACACCTTCCAGAAGAATTCATGGAGCTAGGGAGGCGGCAAAAACAGTCAGCTAAACTAATGCAGGGATGGAGGGTCTGTCCATGAGGCTGTGAGGAGAGACTCTGCTAAATGAAGATGCTTCTGCTTCTGTAGCAAAAGGCAAAGGCTGAGAGGGAGGAGGTCAAATTTTACCAAACCACCAAGAGTCTACATAAGAGAAACACAGTGAGGTCCCCAGGTCCCAGGTCCTTGAAATCAGGCATGCTCCCTCGACAGGTAACTCTCAGAAGAAAGGAGTTCAGCATCACTCACAGACCTGTATCCCCACAAAGATACAAAGAGAGAGAAGATAGCAAGAGAAACAGCCGCGGTTTATGGGATTCTGCTCACTTCATACTCCCTAAACCCTGTGAGGTATCTTTTATTAACCCCGTTTTATAGATGAAGAATAAAAACAGTTGATTCGACTTATAGTTACCCTATAGAACAGAGTAGAACTGCCCCATAGAGTTTCCAGGGAGCAGCTGGAGGATTCGAACTGCCAACCTTTTGGTTAGCAGCCAAGCTCTTAACCACTGTGCCACCAGGGCTCCAGATGAAGAATATTGAGGCTCAAATTGTTTAAGTAACTTGATCGAAGTCTCCCCAAATTAGTGGTGGCCCTGCAACTCAAGTGGGTGTTTTTCGTTGCAAAGTCCTTGGTCTTTCAGGGTCCTGCATGTATGGCTTCACCCTCAGGGAGCATTTAGTAGATTGAACCTCAAGGCCCTGAGAAGCGGCTGACTTTCCAAGGGATATGACATGGATTCAGAATATTCATGCACGGTGAATTCCTAGTCGCATCTTAGGAAAGCGGTAGCTTTAGGAGGATCCCTTGCCTTTCTGAGTGGACACCAGCTGCCTTCCATATCTGTAACCAACTCCAGAACCTGCTAAAGTGGTTCTAGAGTAGGAGCCAAATAGAACACCATGGCCCTGTAGGCCAGATCATTGGAATCTTAGGTGAGTGATCCTCACTCAGGTTGAGTCAGGTTGTTTCTTGAAGCCTGGAAGTGACCTTTCCAGGTGACAGAAGTGCCCATGGAGCTGTTTGGAGCCACTTCACATGCAGAGGTGTTCAAGTGGGCCCCCCTGACTCAGACTTCCATCAACGTGTGGTCCCAGGCCAGGGCTCCCCAGAAGTCTAGGCTCAAACAGCACTGTGTAACAGTTCACCTCTGTGGTGTCCAGGTTCCCCCTCTCAAAGGTAGTGACGTTGTCCCGTGCACACCCATGTCACTCCTAACCATTGGTGGAGCTCAGGAAGACCCTAGGCAAACCCAGAACTGGCAAGCCAGGGGTGGAAGGTTGACTGCAGGTGATGGTGTGTACACTTGAGAAAGGGCCCCAAGGGGAGGTAGGGCTCCCCCTTCCCAGGTGAGAGCCACCTGTCACCCACCCTGGTCTGTTCCCTTGGCTCAGGGCCTTTCTGGAATCAGGGCAAAGCACCTGGTGACCATGAGAGCTCTTTAGGGGTTCCCTGGTCCTATGATAAGAGTCCCTGGGTGGTGCAAACACTTAAGCACTGAGTTATTAACGGAAGGTAAGCAGTTCGAACCCACCCAGAGGTGCCTCAGAAGAAAGGCCTGGCAATCTGCTTCTGAAAGGTCACAGACATGAAAGCCCTATGGAGTGCAGTTCTCCTCTGAAACTCGGTGGGTTGCCATGAGTCAGAATCGACTAGATAGCGACTAGTTTGGTTTTAGTTTGTCCTGTGACACATGGCCCAGGAGAGACGCCATGCCTGTGAATTGGCTGCTTGGATCTGGCTCTTGTATATCGCATTAATAGTGTTCTGTTGTTGAAGCATCATGGGAAAACTTAAGTTGATAATAATAATAATAATAATAAAACTTTAACATACTGTTGAATTAAATTTGCTAGTTCCATTGAGGATTTTCACATTTACGTTCATAAGTGAGATTGGTTCAGATTTTCCTTTCCTTGTACTGTTTCTATGTAGTTTAAGGATCCAAGTCATACAAGCTTCATAAAAGGAGTTTGCTAGCTTTCCTCCCCCTTTCCTCCTTTCTTAATTCCCTGACAGTGGAATGATATTTGTAATGGGCTTTGGATTTTATGAAAACACGCCCCCAGTGTCTGCCTCCTCAGCAGGGGCCTTGGCACCAACAAGAAGACAGACACCTCTTTTCCTTGTTTATAGTCTGCGCTGGCTTATTTTGGGTGCTTTTGTTGTTTCTGGGACTGCTCTGTTGGGAGCCAGGCATTTCCCTGAGGAAGCAGGGACGAAATGAGGGAAGCCGGGGGCTGGGGACAGGGGGCTGTGCGGGGTGGGGGAACGGTGTTGGGGGGAGCCCAGATCCTGGGCGCCAGCACCCGCTGCAGCCACTCTGTGGTTCCGAGGCCAGGCTCTGGGGAAGCCTTGCCTAACCTCAGCTGCACATCTCCGTGCAGTTACCATGTTCCGCAAGAAGAAGAAGAAACGCCCTGAGATCTCAGCCCCACAGAACTTCCAGCATCGCGTCCACACCTCCTTCGACTCCAAAGAAGGCAAGTTCGTGGGTCTCCCCCCACAATGGCAGAACATTCTGGACACGCTGCGGCGACCCAAGCCTGTGGTGGACCCTTCGCGCATCACACGGGTGCAGCTCCAGCCCATGAAGGTGAGGTGGACGGGCAGGGGTGAGTCCAGCCTTCCCCACCCAAAGAAAACCGTGCCTGGCAAAACTGTACCCTTACCTGGAGCAGCCACTGAATAATCAGCTGTCAATGAGTTTCCTGTAACCTCTCTCCCTGAGGAGTCCCTCTCTGCCCGGTTGCCAGATTGAGCAAATACTGGATGCCCCATTGAACTTGAATTTTGGATAACCGTGAATAATCTTTTGGTTTACGTATGTCCCATGCAATATTTGGGACATACTTACACTAAAAAAGTATTCATTGTTTATTTGAAATTCGAATGTGTCTAGATGGTCTGTGTTTATCAGACAGCCCTAGCAGTGGGACCAATGGCACTGATCTCTCTCCAGCTCTCTGTTGGGCCGAAGCCTTCAGAAGAGGAGGCCTGGAGCTCTGCAGGGGCTGGGGGCTCCCACAGACCAGGGTTAAGAAGGGCAGATCCACAGCCTGGAAGGAGTTGGGGTAAGGGGTCCTGTCCAGCCAGCTGTGTGGATGGGTCCCTGTCCCTCTGAGCGGCAGGTAGAGCTAGAGACTGGCAGCCCACACCAGGCCGACCTGGGGGCAGCCTACCCCGACCCTGCACCCTCAGCTCCCCAGGCCCAGCTGAACCTTAACCCTGCAGCTACCTAATGGTCTGCCCTGCCAGCCTGCAGGCCCCCTGGAAACAGGCCTTAACCGTGTTCCAGCGGCCCTGCTCCGGCACAGGCCTGGCCCACTGTGGGCCTGGGCAAATGACAGAAACATTCATGGGCACATGCACGACACAGCAAGGGAGGGCCTTCGAGGCCCACAGTGTTCCTCCCAAAGACCCCAGTGCCCTACCCCCTCCTGCCGGGAGGGACTGTGCTCACCCCTCTTCTCTCCTCCCCTACAGACAGTGGTGCGGGGCAGCTCGGTGCCCACAGACGGCTACATCTCAGGGCTGCTCAATGACATCCAGAAGCTGTCGGTCATCAGCTCCAACACTCTGCGTGGCCGCAGCCCTGCCAGCCGCCGGCGGGCACAGTCCCTGGGACTGCTGGGGGATGAGCACTGGGCCGCCGACCCGGACATGTACCGGCAGAGCCCCCAGTCTGAGCACACTGACCCCCACGGCCTCTACCTCAGCTCCAACGGGGGCGCCCCAGCAGGCCCCAGGCAGATGCCCTGGCCTGAGCCGCAGAGCCCACGGGTCCTGACCAATGGGCTGGCTGAGAAGGCACAGTCCCTGGGCCCTGCCGAGTTCCAGGGTGCTATGCAGCGCTGCCTGCAGCTGGGCGCCTGCCTGCAGAGTTCCCCACCGGGCACCTCGCCCCCCATGGCCACAGGCAGGCGTGGGACCAAGGCTGCCAGGCACAGCTCCGAGGAGCCCCGGCCACAGTCCTGCCTGGTGGGCTCAGCTACGGGCAGGCCCGGTGGGGAGGGCAGCCCCAGCCCTAAGACCCAGGAGAGCAGCCTGAAGCGCAGGCTGTTCCGAAGCATGTTCCTGTCCACTCCTGCTCCAGCCACGGCCACTCCAAGCAGCAGCAAGCGAGGCCCTCCGGCACAGAGCAAGGTAGGTTCGCCTGGGGCTCGGGGCCCCTCTTTGGAGGACAGAGTGTCAGAGACCCAGGGTAGGGGTTGAAGAGGGCATGAGGGACCAGACTGATGAAGAAACTAGCCAGCCTCGGCTCAGGGCTCTACCCTAAACCACCTGAGCCCACCGTCCTCCAAAGGCTGAGCACGTGTGAGGCCAAGGTTGTGAGCTGGCCATTTTCCAGAGGGGCCTTAGAGATTGGGGTGCATCCGGCTTACCCTCTTGCCCTCCGCATGTGTCTGGGCGACCACCTGGGAGGCAGACACCCCCATGAAGAAGTAGCATCTTTAACCACAGGCCCAGAGCAGACCATCCCCTGCCCTCAGTGCCCAGCAGCCCTCAGTAGGCCCCGCAGAGCTAGGCCACCAGGCCCGTGAAGGTCTCTCCCTGCTCCCTCTTCTGGAACTCCTTCCCCTCCCACTCCTCATGGCCCCAGTCCCCTCCGGAGCACTGTGGAGTGGCTCCTTGCTAAGGTGTCAGAGAAGTTCATGTGAACCGCCTCCTCTAGCGAGGGTTCCTTCCTCCTTCCTTCCTTCTCTTCCTTCCTTCCTTCCCTCCTTCCTTCCTCCCTTTCCTTCCCTCCCTTCCTTCCTCCCTTTCCTTCCCTCCCTCCCTCCTTCCTTGTCTTCCTTCTCTTCCTTCCTTCCTTCCTTTCCTTCCCTCCCTCCTTCCTTCCTTGTCTTCCTTCTCTCCCTTCCTTCCCTCCCTTCCTTCCTCCCTTTCCTCCTCTCCCTCCCTCCTTCCTTCCTTGTCTTCCTTCTCTCCCTTCCTTCCCTCCCTTCCTTCCTCCCTTTCCTCCTCTCCCTCCCTCCTTCCTTCCTTGTCTTCCTTCTCTCTCTTCCTTCCCTCCCTTCCTTCCTCCCTTTCCTTCCCTCCCTCCCTCCTTCCTTCCTTGTCTTCCTTCCCTCCCCTTCCTTCCCTCCCTCCCTCCTTCCTTCCTTGTCTTTTCACCATACCTGTTGTTTTGTTTAATGTTTCTTTAACTATTCGTTCTCAAGTGTGTGTGTCCCGTGAAAAGCTAGAGGGTTGCATTTGCCCGGGTCTGGGAGCTTTCAGCATGTGTGACAGCCAAAGCTGCACGTATTTTTCTTGTGAAAAAGGAAGCAGTGACCAGAGCCCTAGTGGTGACCTGTCGGCACTGTGGCAGGCTGACTGGATTCTTACATGCCCTATAACATCCTGTCCATAGGGACATAGCAGTTTTTACCATTCGGCAGATGAGAAGGCTGACTCAGAGAGGGAGGGTGTGCTCGGGGCTGCCTCTCCCTGTCCTCTCAGCTCGCTGCTCCCGAGTACAAGGCTCTGTGACCGAGGCAGCGGCTGTTCTCTTGCTCCTTGAGGGGCAGGCAGACACGAGCGTAGGCTACAGTGTGAGGGTTTTAGGTCATACTCAGGAAATGGCTGCCTGACAGCAGCGAGGGTTCTCGAGCCTTCCTTCCCTGGGGGCTTTAAGAACAAGCCTGGGACCCCCTCTGTGTCTGATGGTGTGAGTGTGGGCTGGCCTGAGTGGAGAGGGGGCCGGGGGAGTGGCTTGGAGCTAACAACCTTTCCAGCCCACTGCCAGCACTGATTGGAGCCTGAGGGTCACACCAGGGCTGGCACCAGGGAAAGCCCGGGGCCTCCTGCACCCCAGCTGGCTCCACGCTCCCATGGGGACAGAGGACAGTGGGCTGGGCTCACCCATGGGATACTGGGTGGGGGAGGAACGTGAGATGTGGCTTGACATGTCAGGTGAGGCGCGTGGGTGTCTCTGAGCTGAGACGGTCTGTGGAAGGCTGTGTCCTGGGGACACATTGCCGGAGAGCAAAGGGGGGAGCGGGGCAATGCACGCTGCGGGGGAACTGTGAGCTGAAGGTGACCCCTCTCTGGCCTCTTGGGAGTCCTGTTGGGTGGGCTTTGGCATTTGGAGAAAGGGGGTGTCCACACTGGGCTGAGCTCCTTCCGGCGCCCCATAGCAGGGGAACAGGGCCACCCACCCAGCCTCTGTCCACCTGCCCTTACTGAGTACCTACCATGGCCCTCCTGCTGGGATGTGCTGGCTGGTCTTGTGCTCAGACCCCAGAATTCCAGGGGAGTGGCTTCCTTGCAGGCACCTGGGCCATACCTTTTCAAATAAGTACCCTCCAGCAGGCCCTCTGAAAGCCTGGGCTGAGCCACCCCCTGAGCTGCTCTAAGCAGGATTTCTCAGCCTCGGCACCCTTGACAGGCTGGGTGGGGTAATTCTTTGCTGTGGGGGCTGTGCATGGCAGGACTACTCTACTCTCTAGCTGCCAGCAGCGCCACCTCCCCCTCGTGACAATCAAAAATGTCTCCAGACATTGGCACGTGTGCCCTGGAGGAGCGGTAGCTCCTGGTTGAGAACCACTGCTTTAGGTAAATTGCAACACAGACAGAGAGCACCGGGCTTCCTCCTCCCCTCATGCCTCCCAGGAGCCCCCAGACCAAGCCTGTGGCCCTCTGCACATCCACGGGGCTGGGCTCTGGACACTTGGCAGCAGCTTCCTCCAGTGGCTGCGGGCCAGCTGCGCTGCCGGAGGGCCTGTGGTCCCAGGACTCTGGGACTCAGCCCAGAGCTCGGCCTGCAGCCACTCAGTTGGGCTAAAGAGCAGAAGAAGGTCCGGAGTTGGGGACAGGGGAACAGAGCGATAAGATGGCTTATTAGGAGCTGGGGGAGATTGAGAAGGGGCTCCACTTAGGGTCAGGAGGGCCAGATCGTAAGACATCAACAGTCAGCAAAGACTGGCTAAGCACCTGCTGTGTACCATGCTGTGTGCCGAGGAGGTACACAGCATCCACAGGTCCCCAGCAGAGGGTCCTGAGGTTAGGCTGACGGGGCTGAAGGCTGGCTCTGCCCTTTACTGCTTACCAACTCTGGGCCAAGTTTCTTAACTTCTCTCAACCGATTTTGTCATCTGCAAATTTGGTTTTAATTGTAAGATTTAAATGAGATAATGGATTTACGGCACTTGCCAACCTGGTAAGCCCTCAACACACAGCATTTTTTTTTTTTAATTTTAAAAATTGTGTGGCATAGCCTCTGCCTTTAGGAACTTACCGTGCAGCCCCCAGGTCCCCAGCTGGAGAGCCTTGGGTGTCTCCATGGTCTGGGGAGAACGAGCAGCTGGGTGACTCCACGCATTACTTTTCCAGTGGCTTCCTTCCCAAGGAGAGGTCTCAGTCGCACGAGTACTTCTGAATTAATCCAAAGCCCTTAACACGTAATTAACGCCATGGTGTGTCCCCGTTCCCTTTCTTGGAGTGATTTCAGAAGTTTCATCTAGAGCTTTCTGTGGTCATCTGTTAAGTAGAAGCTCCCTCCTTGTGTAGACAGGCAGCAGAGCCAAGCAAGGGACCCTGGGGACCATACCGTCCTGGGGTGAAGACTGAGCTGGCCCCACCAACCTGTGACCAGGCCACACTGGTGCTGGGCTCTTGCTGGATCCCTGCCTTCGCTGCTTCCATCCATCCATCCCAGCCCCAGCCCCCAGAAGCCGGCTCCGTCCCTGAGCTCGGCCATCATCTGTGGCACTGTCACCACAGGGGTTTTGACAGGGGGAAAGGGAGGGAGTTCCCTACCTCGGCCCTCCCAGTGGCTGGTCCTCCCCGCCACCCCATGTCACATATCTGCAGAGCAGAGACAGATAGCCTGTCTAGAAATCCTGGACGCCAGAAGGTGGAGGAAATCATTTTACAGCATTCCTGAGAAACTTCAGGGCAGGTAGAGGTCGGGGGCCATCAGAGCAGCCTGAAGACCAGGTTCAGGTCCTCAAGCCCTGCCCCACCCACATGGATGCACATCTTCTGGGTTAATTCCACCACTCGCAGGCCAACAGGCAGCCTCCTCAGAGCCTGGAGCCTTGGGGGCTGCCTCGGTGATCGTGGGGAGCCCTGCTCCACCTCCCGCCCAGTCCCTGCCTGATGCCGTCTCATGGAACCTCTGCTCCTGGGCCATGACATCATAGCTGGGTAGGGGCCATGCTCCCTCCACCCCCCGCTCAGCCCTCCCAGAGGCTCCCCAAGGCCATGGAGTCACAGAGCACATCTGCCCAGAGCTGCTCAGGGTGTGGTCCATGGTGCGCCTACATCAGAAATCCAGGAGCTTGGATAGAATGCAGTCTCAACTCCAGGGACCGCTACGCCCAGGGCCTGGGAATCTGCATTTATCCAGCTCCCCAGATCACACTGAGCACAATCCCCTTTTACAGAGGGGGAGGCTCAGGGGGTGACTTGCCTGAGGTTCATCGCAGGCAGAGCAGAGCCAGGACTGGGCCCCAGGTCTCCTGACCCCAGGCCAGAAGGGCTCCCCTATACAGAGAGGGGAGGATGAGGGGCCAGTACTGGCTAGGACACCGGGGGATCCATTTACTGTCTAAATGTGCCCTCTGGGGGTGGATTACAGCCAAAGCAGGCCTGGGAGGCTGTCCTGGCTCGTCTGTCCCCGCAGAGACAACCTGAGCCACATAGTCAGCCAGAGGTGGAGGAGCAGGCAGTGGGGCGTGGGGAGGGGCTCCTGCGGGCAGGATGCCCTCCACGTGCTGACCCCAGGCAAAGCCAGCGACTGGGTCAGGGTGGGGGCCCTGAAGCCTGAGAGGGAAGTGCTGAAGACATTGGAAAGGCCCTGGCTGAGCCTGGTAGGGCCCGAGGCCCAATCTCGGATCTCTGAGCACGCAGTCCAGCCCTGGTGGCTGGTGTGAGGAGATATCCTGGGAGCTGATTCAGCTCTGGGGTCCAGGACCAGGTCCGGCTGTGACGGGTTCTGGAGAAGTTCCCGAAGGCCACCTTTACTCACGGCATCCCGTTAGGTTGTGTATGGCTTCTCCAGGAACCCTTTTGAAAACACCTGGAAGGGGTCGTGTTGCACCTCACCAACACCCTGGAGAGAACCAAAGGGTGGGGTCCCTTCCTACCAGGGTAGCAGGGGGGCTTGGGCCCAGAAAGGCTTGGAGCCTTGCAAGCTTCCAGGACCTGGCCTGAGCAGGCTCACTGGGGCCAGGTTGCCACCCAGTCCCACCCCTTCCTTCCCTGCCAGAGGCCTGAAGGCTAGCCCCCCTGCCTTTCCTCCTGTGCTACAGGGGGTCATTCCCCAGGCCAGGGCAGCCTCTCTGGGAGCTTCCTGCCTGGGAGGCCTTAGGAGGCCCTGGCTCTGATGTGTACCTGGGCCTACCCTCCTGACTCCAAGTCTCCAGCCCGGGGGGACATCGGAGAACGCCCAGCTGGTCACGTGGTTCTCTAGTCCTCTGACAGGACGTAATCACACAGCGCAGACATGCAGCGCTGGCTCCCTGTTGTCGGGTACGAGCAGAGCTGACAGACCCCAGCCATGGCTTCCCTGCCCCGGTTCCGGGGGTCAGTCACAGCACAGCCCTGCTGCTCCCCACCCACTGCCAAGGGCCTCTTCCCTGGGCCCTTGGCTGGGCCAGGTGGGCTGGGCAGCCGCTGAGTGAAGGCCTCTGAGCGACATTCCCTGTGTGCCACAGCACAGAGGGGAGACTCTGCCTCCCGGTGACCTCCCGGGGGTCTGGTTGTCAGTGGACAAGGAGTGACCCAGCACGAGGACCCCCCAGGGACGTGGGTTGCTGTGTCTTCCCAGGAGCAGCAGAGAGGATAGGAAGAGCGTTGCTGGGCCTGCTCGCCTGAAGCATTGGAGGCTGATTTCCCGCGCACGACCATGATTTGGCGTTAGCTGTTTGACAGTCTTTGCTCACAACAGCTCCCCGCTGTGGTCTGAGGCCCCGTCCAGAGGTCACCTCCGGACAGGTTGCTGCAAACATCCCACAGCCAAACCCTTCCTGTTTCTTTCTTTCTCTCTGCAGCCCAACTCCTTTTTCCAACTGCCACAGAAAGACTTGCCCCCAAACCTGGTGACCAAGGCCCAGTCCTTGCCCTCGGACCAGCCCACGGGGAACTTCAGCCTTCTGAGCACCTCGAATACCAGCAGCCCCCAGAAGTCCCTCCGTACAGCCCCAGCCGATGGCCCACCTCCAGGCCGGTCTTCCCCGGCCGGCTCCCCCCGCACCCGGCACGCCCAGATCAGCACCAGCAACCTGTACCTGCCCCAGGACCCCGCAGTGGCCAAGGGTGCCCTGGCCAGTGAGGACACAGGCATCGTGACACACGAGCAGTTCAAGGCTGCGCTCAGGATGGTGGTGGACCAGGGGGACCCCCGGCTGCTGCTGGACAGCTACGTGAAGATCGGCGAGGGCTCCACGGGCATCGTCTGCCTGGCCCGGGAGAAGCACTCCGGCCGCCAGGTGGCCGTCAAGATGATGGACCTCCGGAAGCAGCAGCGCCGGGAGCTGCTCTTCAATGAGGTGGGAGGAGAGGGCCGGACAGGGGAGGGCACTGTGGGGGCAGTGAGCCCGGACCCACCACTCACCACTGCCCTGCCCCCAGGTGGTGATCATGCGGGACTACCAGCACCTCAACGTGGTGGACATGTACAAGAGCTACCTGGTGGGCGAGGAGCTGTGGGTGCTTATGGAGTTCCTGCAGGGCGGGGCCCTCACGGACATTGTCTCCCAAGTGAGGTGGGCAGCTGGGAGGGCCGGGCCCTGAGTGTGGACACCCTACCGTTGCCCTGGCAGGGGTAGTGGGCAGCCTCTGTCCCGGAAGACATGGGGTCCCCGTCAGATCATCCTAAGCCCTTGCTGCCTGTTTGGGGTCACTGGGACCCAGGGGTCTCAGGGTATGGGGAAGAGAAAGGGGTCTCCAGCCTAGGGTTCAGTGTCCCCTGGGGCGGTTGCCTGACTGGGCTGCTGAGCACATGCCAGGGGCTGTGGGACTGGTACCAGGGACTCCTACCCTGCCCAGCCCAGCTACCCCACAGCCCTGCAAAGCTAACATTCTCTTCCGGTGGCCCTGCCTTCCCCATCCAGGCTGAACGAGGAGCAGATCGCCACCGTGTGTGAGGCCGTGCTGCAGGCCCTGGCTTACCTCCACGCCCAGGGTGTCATCCACCGGGACATCAAGAGTGACTCAATCCTGCTCACCCTGGATGGCAGGGTAGGCCCCTCCCCCTCCCTGGTCGGGGGCACATGCCCCCAACCTCCCTGCCCCCAGCATTGCTCCTCCTTCTGCTTCCACACTCACTCCCCTTTGCACTTCTCGCCCCAAACCCCAGGTGAAGCTCTCAGACTTTGGATTCTGTGCTCAGATCAGCAAAGACGTCCCTAAGAGGAAGTCCCTGGTAGGAACCCCCTACTGGATGGCTCCGGAAGTGATCTCCAGGTCTCTGTATGCTACCGAGGTAACCAGTCCCTCCCCCAGGCCCTTCTCCCAGGAGAGGCTTGGGAACACAGTTCTTTGCCCTGTGGCCCCCTCTAGAGCACCCCACCTAAAATAGCTCTGGTTCTCAGATTCCCACTGAGTCACTGTCCCCTGCCCCCAATGCTCCTGCCAGCTCCAGGGCAGGGGGGTGTGATGGCTTTTCTCAGAGAGTAGCTGACAGCTGTGTCCCCCAGTGAATGGTCACAGATGCAGGAAGTTGCTGACCTCAGGGCAGGTGGCAGGGGAGGAAGGAGATAGACTGACCAGGAGAGCTGGGACCAGACCCCTCCAGACTGTGGCCAGTGGGGTCAGGGGCATTCTCCTCCTGCAGGTGGATATCTGGTCTCTGGGCATCATGGTGATTGAGATGGTGGACGGAGAACCTCCCTACTTCAGCGACTCCCCGGTGCAAGCCATGAGGAGGCTCCGGGACAGCCCCCCACCCAGGCTGAAAAATTCCCACAAGGTCAGTCGGTGCACAGGGTTGACTCCACTCTTCCCGAGGCTTAGAGGGCAGCAGCCTGAGCTCGCAGGCCTCGGCCTCCCCCTGCCACAGAGCCAGAGGGTCTGGGCTTTCAGAAAGTCGGCTGTTTCACCGCTAGAAACGTACCCGAGGGTGCGGAGCCACGCCCACCACATACAGGCCACGTTCACTCCAGCAAGCAGTAGTAGTAGTAGTAGCCGCAGCAGTAGGCACGTCTCAGCAGGCCACGGAGAAGAGCTCAGAGATACTGATGAGGAGGGGACGCCAGGACGCCAGGAATCCCTGACACCCTGGGGAGGAATCCTCTCCCCCCATTTGCCAGAGATTCATACTCTGGCAGTGTTCGGCTCTCCCAGCCAATCCGGCTGCTCCTCCATCATTGTGCATCCTGACCATATCCAAGCCACAGCTTCCCCTTAAAACCAGTGTGTGTGTGTGTGTGTGTGTGTGTGTGCGTGTGTGTGTGCGCGTGTGCGTGTGTGTGTGTATTTAACCCGTTTCTGCCAAATCCACCCCAAACCTGCACGCTTTCCCTGTGGACACCCCCCGCTGCCAGCCAGCTCAGCCTAGGGATGCACAACAGCACCGCCATCTGGTGGCCAGAGTGAGAAGTTCCCAGAGGATTGGGGCCCAGTCCCTAAATGGCAAAATAGTTCCGTGGCCCCAACATACCTGACGGCCACAAACATACCTGGATTTGAGGGCTGACAGGAAACACCCCCCGAGACAACTGAACACTGATGGGTCTTGGAGCCCACACGGCTGACGCCAAGATGAGCAAATCGGGGAAATTTCCAGTTGGCTACTTCCCCGCCCTAGAGGATGCAGGCCAGTATAGCAGGCCAAGACTGAGCCTCATCCCAAGATATTGGCTCAGAATGAATTAAGATAAATCCTTGCCTTGCCATAGACTCTAAGGCTTAGAGCAAAAAAGAAATCTTCCTTTTCAAGTCCCGTCTGTTCTGTTTTTCAAAGCACATCCTCGTTTCTGACTACTTAGAATTTTTTCTTCACTTAAAGCCCTATTTGGCAGACAAAGAAAACATACTTTATCATTAACCCATTCTGCAGATGAGAAAACTGAGGCCTAGAGAAGAATCGCAACTTGCCTGAGATCAAGGATAGGCCCAGGACTAGATCACTAGATGCCGATCCTGTGTCCCTTCCACAGAGCCACAGAGCCAGAAGGCTTAGAGTCCTTAGAAGCAGGGGTGGGGAGTGGACTGTATTTGTAGCAGCTCTCCAGGGCTCTGGCATCCTAATTCCATTGCTCAGCGGCGCCCCCTAGAGGTGGACTGTCCACATTTCCTGGACTGGTACTGATTTACCTAATCTGATAATGCAAAAAGCACTGAGCCTGGGAAGAGCTGGGAAATAGGAAACCAGAGAATGGAAGACTGTCCAACCATGGCAGGGCCAGGCAGACAGGTCATCTCAAAGTGACTGCAAACCACGCTCTGTCTCCACAGGTCTCCCCAGTGCTACGAGACTTCCTGGAGCGGATGCTGGTGCGGGACCCTCAGGAGAGAGCCACAGCCCAGGAGCTGCTGGACCACCCCTTCCTGCTGCAGACGGGGCTGCCCGGGTGTCTGGTGCCCCTGATCCATCTCTACCGAAAGCAGACCTCCGCCTGCTGAGCCCACCTCAGAGTGTGCCTGACGCCTGCGCCCACAGGCGGGCGACTCTGGGCGGCCGGCCTGCTGGCAGGGCCCACCTGCCCCATTCTCAGTATTCTCTCCAAAGATTGAATGTGAAGCCCCACCCCACCCTCCTGCCCCTCAGCCTACTGGGCCAGGCCGGACCTGCCCCCTCGGTCTCTCTCCCTTCCAGGACAGGCTCCAGTTGCCTTTGGGATGACAGAGACCCCTCCTGCAGGGTGACCCTTTGTTATTTGCACAGGGATATTTCTAAGAAACGTGGAGACCAGCGCTCCTGGCCACCACGGCCAAAGCAGCAGGAAGAGCTGCTGCGGTTTTTAAAGGTATTTGTACCCTAGCATCCCAGGCCACCCAGAGGCCAGACTGCTTGTCCTAACAGGGATACTTGCTGTTCTCAGCTCCACCTCCAAATCTTGGGGTCTTTTGAGAAGGCCACCGGGAAAACCTTTATTGCCTGATTCCTTCTGCTTCCCTTGTGCCTAACTTCCTGAAGGCACAGTCCCAATGGAACCTGCTTCCTGACCCACTTCAGTGACACACACTGTCCCCTACACAGCTGGCTCAGAACCACAAACAGTCTGCTCGTAGGCCACAGGAGGGGAAAAAATACCCACTGCCGTCAAGTCGATTCCGACTCACAGCTACTGTATAGGACAGAGTAGAACTGCCCCACAGGTTTCCGAGGAGCCGCTGGTGGATTCGAACTGCCGACCTTTTGATTAGCAGCCAAGCTCTGAACCACTGTGCCACCAGGGCTCCCACAGGAGGGAAGGGGGCCGTTTTTCGGTGAAAGAGGAAGAATGGGGTTGGTGGTAATGGTGGAATCTTTTCAGGATGGAAGAAACGTGTGTGTGTGTGTGTGTGTGTGTGTGTGTGTGTGTGTGTGTGTTTGTGTGAAAGGGGAGGAAGGTACCCCGACAGCCTGAGACCCTTCAGATCCCTCACAGCCAGCTTCAGTAAGGCTGTCCCACGCCCCCTCCCACTAAGTTCAGCTCTGAAGGGACCCGCTTGCTTGGCCTGGCTTCCCACCTCCTGAGTCCCGTGTTTATACCTGACCAGTGAATACGGCTGAATTGAGTCTGATACATCCTGGGGTCTCAGGGGGTTCTGAGTGGCTTCCAGCATTGTTTCTGAGTTTTTCCTGTACTGTGGATTCTGAGTCAGCGACAAGGATGGTGTGGAAACTGAAACTCTTATACCAGTGAATTTCATCTCGATAACCAGGTCATCAGGGACCCATTCTTCTCCTTAGAATCCGGCTCTGGGGAACCAGTTTTGGGGGTTCCATCATGTCAAGAGGATGGGCACCCCACCTGTCAAACCGTCTGCCCCTAGCTGCCTGGTCAGACATCTGCTCCTTGCCCTCCCTCCCTCCCCACCTTCAGGGCTGCTGTGAGACCGGAAATCCCAGGGAAGAACTTCGGGTGTCCAGACTCTATCTAGATAATACTTTTAGACTCCTTTGCTCCCTGGTGGTCTGCTCTGGGGTAAAACATCGCAAGGACGTTTTTTAAGGGTCAGCGTTTTAAAAACGAAAGCATCTTCCCTAAAAACTTTTGTGAATTGTTTGCACTTGTGCCTATTTTAAATTAAACTGAGTGTTCAAAACCTCGGGGCTTCCTGTTGTCTCTGGAGGGAAGCCAGGCTGCCTTTGAGCTGGGCGCTCTGTAGTCCAGCTGGGTGTCTGGTGTGGGCATCCCTCCTCCCCCTCGTGAGGCCCGCAGGGGTCACCCTGGCCTGCAGAAAACCCAACTCCCTGGTGCGTTGTGGGCCTGAAATGAGGGCAGAGGAGGGAAACAGGAAGTGAAGGGCCCTTGAGACTGAAGGAGATGAGAATGAGACAGAGCTCCTTCCCCCGGGGGAGAAGCGGAGACGCTGCTCTGCTGGCCCGGGGGCTGTGCTTGCCGCACTTCAGGGGCTCTGGGGAGTCTCTGGCTGACGACCACTGTCGGCGGCAGCTTCTCCCTTCGCCTGTTTGCTTCTCACTCCCTGGAAAGCCAGAAGCTGCTCTCCTCAAGCCACTCATAGGAAGTGGCCTGAAACTGCTTCCCCCCGAGAAATGAACGCTCTGTTTCCGCTCTCAGAACTGAGGGAGACTGGAGAATTGTGAAGACAGAAGTGCAGCAGCTGGAGATCAAGAAACCTAGGTTCCAGGCCTGGGGAGGTGGATGAAATTGTCTTTCAACTTCTAGCTCCAATATCGATTCCATTCCTTTCTGAGATCTCACCCTACCTCCCAGCCAGGGCTCACTGACATATCTTCCCCAGGAGCAAGGGGCCATGAAGACCTCCTGCTCACCACTCCCATGTGGCCAGCTCCCCTGAACCCTCCACCTGGGCCCCATCCGCCCAGCTCAGTCAGGTGCAGCACCTGTGACTTAACTTCAAGAGAAGTTAAGGAGGATGGGCAGGGACTGAAGTTCACATAAAGCAGGGCCTTTGGCAGGGATTGAACACAGCTTTCCCTCTCTCCACATGGAGCCCAGAGTCAGGAGTGGCTGGTAAGGCAACAAGGCAGCAGTTCTCTCAACTGAATAATACTGGATTTATTAACTATTCTTTTGAGTTCTAATAGTCCTTCCACCAAACAGCATCATTCCAAAGAACTGCATACATCATTCAGCCTCACACACAGACCAGTTCTGAGCTTGATCTCAGAGGACCGAGCTCCAGTGGCCTGGGTGACTTCATGACTATCAAAGCCACAAGAGCTGGGAAAGTAAAATGCTTAGAAAGGTCTCTATTATAAAGTGGAGAAAGCTAGCAAAGACCCGGGCCTCAGTGGCCTTGGGCTGGCAATGAGAGGAAGTTCAGGGCAGCGAAATGGGGGGAAAGCTCACAAGTTCTGCACAGAGCAGTGCCTGGTGAGAAATCTCTAAGAACAGCAAGTCAGTCGAACAATTCAGTTCAGACAGGAAGGATCTGCTGTGGCTTTTTAGAAACATCACTTTCAACCATTAAGCTCTTGGCAACTCGGCTAGAGAAGACCTCATGGTTGTTTACCCGATAAAGAGGACCCAAGGTGACATTCAACCAGAAAGCCACGTGTCAGCAGCACTAGAAAGATGACAGCACCTTCAACATAATGTGCACCCCAGACTTCAAGGTGTTTTTAAGACGAAATACTCATTCTTACAGCATTTAAAACTTCATGAAAATTAAACGCAGTTGAAAAGGGAGTAAGTCAGCAGGCAAGGATCCGATTATCCAATTATCCCCCACCCCACTCAGCCCTGTCCCCCTGCTTTTCTGTGTTGTTCAGCCAGGCACTCGGCTATTGGCAGTGGGACAGAGGAGAGGCAGGTGTTTGGGGAGAAGGGTGGAAGGCTGGGACATCTTAGAACATGAAGCAAATACCATCAGTTGAAAACAGTGCCCAGGCAGCAAGCCCCAAGGTCCAGAATTCATAAGCGAGGGGTTGGCAGCTCCAGCGTCGGAGACAGGAGCTCTCTGGGCGCAGAGCTTTAACTTCAAAGATCTTGGGGTTCGTAGTGATACGTCTGGCACCTGCTACTCCAAAAGCGGGTTTTTGTTCATTGTCCCTTACTTCACCGCTGTGGAATGATTTCAAGTATCCGGATTTAATATTCTACGAGAGGAAGGGGATTCCATGGGTAAACAGACACGGAGGGAAAAATACACAGCCGTGATCCCAAATCAAATCAGAAGTCTGAACTCCGCGCCAGGGCGCAGCGGGGAAAGCGCAGCGCTGGCACCAGGGGGCACCAGAGAACACGTCCAGTGTGCAGGCCCGCGCGGCCTCGCGGACCCGGGTGGATGGGGAGGTAGGTGTCCGACACCTGCACAGTGCCCGCTCCTGGCCAAGCTCTCACCCTCAACCCCGGGCCCAATTTCTCAGCACGGGTCATTCTCGCTCCGGGCAATTCTTTCGGAGTTACTGGTATGAAACCTTCCGTTCTGCAAAAACGAACAGATCAACGTCTTGAAAAAAGACCCCACCGCAGGCAGGTACGGGGCTGCACGCTCAACCTTCGAGGTTCACAAAAAGAGCCCCCACGCGCCTCCACCCCAGGGGTTGGGCGCACAGACTTGTGCTACCGCTTCCGCTGGGTCCTAGCGTCCCCGATCCTCTAGGCCCTCCAACCCCGTCGCTAGGTTGACACAAAGAGAAGGCGGGCGGAGGCGGGGAGGGACGGGAGGAAGGACGAGGCGGGGAAAGGGCCTTTAACCACCTCCCCGGCCCAGCGAGAAGCGGGAGCAGTTTAACAGGCCCCTTCCAGCTCTCGCTGGGAGTTTGATGTAATTTAAACCCGGACTTGCGGCTCGTGTGGGCTCCTGACTCCCGCGCGCCGCCGTTTAACGTGGCAAACACTTCAGTCAATTATCCCCCTCGCGGAGCTTCTATTTAAAGAGACATTGTTAGGTTCCTAAGCCTCGGATCAGACCCGCTGCTTTCTGCTTTATATACACGAGTTCTTGGAGGATTGGAAGAAATACAATTAAGCCAAGCCTTCGCAACCGGTCTACCCTGCGGGCGCACCCACGTGCGGGACAGGGGAGCTGGGAGGCGGTGACGGCGGGGGAAGTGCTAAACGTCCTTTCCATTTCAGGCCTCGGAGAGTGAGCGGAAATGAGGTCCGGCCACGAGGGGTGGGGCCTGTGGCTGGCGAGGCCTCGAGGGACTGAACCTCAAAGGTGGAACTCAAATTCAGCCCAGTGGAGCAGCAAGCTGACCCAGAAGCCCGGAGTTCCGCTAGGACGGGTTGATGTGGAGCGATGACCTGGATGGAGCTCCTAGCCCCATGTCATCAGTGAAAACGTTGAATCCTGGGTCTGCCTGGGGCCGAGGGAGCTGGAATTACCCAGCAGCTGGTACAAGGGACAAATGGTGTTCAACACCAGGGGCTCTGCCCACCCCCTGAATCCGCTTTCGTTGTCTTGAGGCAGGAGTGTCTCCCCCAGAAAAAACTTAAGTGCCAGATTCCTTCCTAATCAGTCTTCCTGTCCAGAAAGGCTCTGGGCCCCTCTGCGCCATCTCTTGAGGAAGGGAGACTTCAGGTGCTTTGTGGCATTACTGTCAGCGTCCCTAGGCATAGCTCAGGGCCCCATGGGGAGGCCCACGTTAGTTCCACAAGGCTGACTTTTCAGCCGGCCTGGCTGCCAGGGTGTTGGGGAACCTAGCTCGGGGAAAGGGACCAGGCAGCAGCCGGCAGGAACCTAGGCAGGCCCAGGCCTAAGAGGTGGCCCAGGACTAAGCATTAGGGCTGGCGGGGGTGGGCGTGGGGGGTCATCTTCCTGGCTGGAAGGCTCTACCTACTGGAAGCAGCCTTCTGTCCCTCGCCTTCCAGGGACAGGAAAGGCAGGCAGTAAGTAGGGAAGGGGAGAGGAGGGAATACCAACGAGCACAAATAAGAAATAAGATGGGGGGTGGGGGGTCCCTCTCAGAGAGACCTGGCTTTGGCAGCCGGTACAGGTTCTGGGATCAGGGACAGGGGAGCTACTGAGAAGTGAGAGACCTGGAAGCAAGGGAGAAATCCCAGCGG